AATTAAAATGTAATTTGTAATTGGTATTACAAATACCTGACGCCAAATATTGTCTTTAGCACGTAGTTAGTATTTCAAATATCAGATGCTTCTAAATATTTTTTTAAATAAATACATTTGACCTTCATTAAGCGATTATAATAATGGGTGCGTTCTGAAGAAAACAGCGCTTGATAGCTTTCGCAAATAAAATATAATTTGTAATTCGTATTTAAATTATCTGACGCCAAATATTGTAGTCAGTATTTTAAATATTTGTAGCTTCAAAGCACATTCTAGCATAAATACATTTAACCTTAATTCAGTGATCTTAAACAACGAGAGCGTTCTGAAGGAAACAGCGTTTGATAGCTTTCTTAAGCCAAATGGCGTTCGCTACATAATTATATCAATCTTTACATTTGGCAACACTGCACCCGTTACTGACCGGTACTTTGGTTTAACCTTGGATTATAAAACAAAAGTGAAGATTTGCACTTGCGCCTCAAAAGTGATCCGCTTAAATTATGGTGCATGACCACAATTCGCTTTACTCACAAATGGACATTCAAACACGCTGCATGTGCACTAAATATAACAAAATTGCGTATATTCTGTGTTCTAAATATAAAACTATGCCTTCGATGCTTTTACAAAGAACACAAATAGTTCTAAATTAAATAAAAAAAGTCTCTGCAACACAAATTCGTAAAACTGTAAAAACATATTTTTCAAAAATAAAACTAGTTTTTACGGGTTAATGCACGAAACTTTATTGATTTATTGACGTTTCGTAGCCTTTACAGGCTTCGTCGCGTCGTCAGAATAAATTTTTTATTTAATTTGTCGAGCTACCTTCGAAAGACTTTTATTGAGCGTTTGGTTATTTCATTGTTCGATTTTTAAGTTTTATTGTCTATGTATGAATTTATTATTTAATTTACTTAATAAAGTATTTTATTTAAAATTCTTGTTTGTAATTTTGAGTTAACGTCAATGTGAGAAACGTAAATAAATAAATAAAGTTTCGTGCATTAACCCGTAAAACTAGTTTTATTTAATGAATGATGTGCGTGAAAACCTAAGAAACAAATATAACATATTTTTCTCAAAAATCACGGTTTGTCGTGAAGGTTATTTACGTAATCGCCATTTTGTTATCAAGAAAAGAACAACAATACAGCTCAGCTGTACGGACTCTGACGCGGACTCGCCTTTTCGCTCGCGCTGCGTTGAAGCGTACAGTTCTGTCTCGCTCGCTCGATTGAATGTTTATTTACGAGGTGTGCGTGTGTGAGAGTTGCTGATGTAGTTGAGTCGGATCATATTTTATTTGATGCTAGTATGAGCGCACCGTATCTTCCCATTTTATTTTAATCTAAGGGTTTTACTGATTAATCTTCTTTTACTCGATTTTTAGCTGGGCTGGATTACTTTTTATTCTTTATAGTATTTTGCTGTATAGTATTCTGCAGTGTTGCAGATCACGCACCTAAGTATACGCCTCAGAACACAGAAAGAGGTTGGAAGGACCTTGTGGAAGGGCAGTCGCGCCCCAGTTACGTGTGAGCAAATGCTCATAACTTGACAAAAACTTGGTTCTGATTGCGTCCTTGCTCTTGAGTGTAAGCGCTGTTTGGTTGGATTGTTTGATGTCGCGTCATTTAATTGGCTATTATCTTTTAGGTGGTAGTGTAGTGGGGACGAGCCTGCGACATCGGTTCCCGTACAAATGGTGTCTGATCAGAATCAGAATTAGTAGGGTACTAACCTTTTTCTGAGTTCTGTGGTATACGCAGAGAAATAATAATTTGTATGGCGGGGCAGTGTGAGAATCGCCTAAATATTTTAGAAATATTACGACGGGTCCCAAGAACAAAATCTTATGGAAATTTAAGACAAAATTGATTTTATTATTTTAATGTACTTGCTATTACATCAGCTATAAGGTAATATAATTATTTTTTTCGTCATACGTTTACTTTATGATATAACCAATCGAACATCATCTTATCCGAAGCGTGATTCGACGAACAATAACGTACGGACACGTACGAACTTGTTCTTCCCAGGTCGCATCTCGCGCGCCGCGCTCTATGATCAGATGCCGGTTTGTTCTTCGCATTGGCGGTCGTTTTGATGGTGCGGAATTTTTTCACTACATTTCGTGTTAAATAATAATTTAAAGAGTGGATACACTATTTAGTGCATAATTTATAATGTCGGCCTTATCAAGAAAGAGAAGAATTTTGGATTTAGCCCTAAATCTAGATAATAATGATAACGATGATTCTACTTCGAACAGAAATACACACGATGAAAACTCCAATTTAGGTAAGTAATTGTTATAGTTTTCAAATTCAACAATGTAGTAATAGTTGAGGGTTTTATTTTTCATTCTATAAATTACTTAGTATCAAAATTCCTAAAAAATATAAATAACCGTCGTTTGTGATTTTACGATATTGTTCTACGACAATTTGAAAAAGTATTTTTAGATCGTGTTTTATTATATTTTCAAATTTTATTGTCAAATTAGTCTGAAAAGAACATAATAGCATTTGATAGTGAAATATTAATTTTCACCATATTACTTTCACATAAGTTGTAGTTCGTCAAAAATGCATTAAAAATTTATAATTGCATGTGCAGGTAAGACATTGTTCTATGGAAAATTAATGAAAAAAAACTGTCGTATGTAAATTTGCGTTTTTGTTTATGGGAATTAATTGGATAATACGATTTTGTTCTTCTAAAAACTTGCTAAATATAAAACTTAACTTAATTAAAGTAACATAATTATATTCCTTTTATGTTAGGTACTTTGTGTGTTGAACATTATAATCATTGCTTATTTTTTTTTGTTTTATATCAGAACCTGAAGATCCATGTGACACCGCTATGAGCTCCCCATTGCCGCCAGGAGCACGCAATATTAAAGAAGACATGGCAGAAGTATGGAATGATGTTTTTAATAATAATTATCCTATAGATTTTTCACAACATCAATTACAAGCTACCTATGACACTACATTTCTCTGCTGACAGCAAGTTACTTCGTCACCTGCTCCTTTGCTTCATAATCTTACGAATGAGGATGTGCCTACTCCGTTGAATATTGAGGTACCCTCTAATTTTAATAATTCACCGGCATTTTACTTAGAAGAATTTGAAAAACCCCAAGTTTCCACTCCATCATCTTCTCAAATGGTTTTAGCTACGCCGATGCCCTCTCCACTAAATGCACACAAGAAATGTTGTAATGAATTTTGTTCTATTCATTGTTCATGGCTAGATTCTGTACAATGTTTAGGTAATACTAGTGGTTCGGAATCAACGCAATTAAAACAAAAAAGTCTAGGAACCGTTTGGTATAGGTACAAGGAAAATTGGTCTGACGTAAAACGTAAACAGTTGAAAAATCTGGGTAAGGGCATCGAAAACAGGGAAATTAGTTGATGACAAAGTCATCCGGAAACCCTGTAACTGTCGCAACAAATGCGTAGATTAAATGACAGAAGAACAAAGACTGAAATGCTTTACGATGCTTTAGACTATATTAAAGATTATTGTACGGAAGGAGCCAAAGAATTTCGTTTCTGGTCCGATAATTGTGCCTGTCAGAATCGGAACAGATTTGTATTCTCTGTATATTTATTTGCTGCCAAGAAATACAAAGTTTCTATTACATATCGCTTCCTTGAGAAAGGACACACGCAGAACGAGGCAGACAGTGTGCATGCACTTATAGAGGGAAGCGAGTCGGAGCGATTCTAAAACCATTTATACTCCCGATGAATGGCGTCTACTTGTACGTTGGGCAAAAACAGAAGGAGAACCATATTTAGTTAAAAAATATGACACAAAAAAATCTTTAATTTTAAAACCCTCGTCAATGATAAACTTTGGAGTAAGAATTTAAAAAATCAAAAAATTGTTTGATCTAAAATTAAAGAAGTTTTTGTTGATAAATCTGAGCCACATAAATTGTGTTATAAATATAATTTAGATGAAGATTCTTATGAATGCTTAGTTATCGGGAATGAAACAAGACGCTCATCTGTAGTACCAGCATTAGAGTGTGCTTATTATTCTCCCCTTAAATTGACAAAAGCTAAATATAAAGATTTAGTAAGTATGTGCGATACTGGTGTTATAGGTCCATCCAATGCTACGTTTTTTAAATCCTTACCCTATAATTCTGAAGACTGTAATAATGGACAAGATGATGACGTAAGTGACAAAGAATAGGATATATGGTAATATTATAATGACATAAGAGTCAAAGGGTCTTAAATTGAAAAAAGTTTATTTTGTTAATTTTTTTACAATAATTATGTACGACGAGAACGCTTTTAGTTATTATTTATTTATTAAGCCAAGTTATATTTTTGGATACAAAATCATTATTTTTGAGAGTTTTATATAAGTACCATAGATCTCTTTTTATCTAATCATAAGTTATAATTATACAAATCTGTGATTAATAGTTGTAATAACTCAATGAGTATTAATTAGGAAGAACTTAATAGTTGTTTTTTTTAAAGAAAAGTTTGTCTTATATTTTTGTTTTTAAGTTTTTGTTTGATTATAACATTGAAAAGATTAATAAAAGTAAAAGAAAATATTTTTTTAATTTCATTTAAAACACTATTGAAAGATAATACCGACATACGACTTAATTATCTTTTAAAAAATACGTAGCAAAACATTGCATATACACTTAAGTCGATAAAGATTCCATAAAACAAAGTCGTATTTACGGTTAAGTACTAGATTATTCCGAAAAACAAAAGCTTATTATATCATAAGAAGACATTTTCAAAGAATTAAATATTAAATTTATTATAAAAACGTGAAAATCATGTTATTAAAGTAAACAAACTGCCGTTACTATAATGTTCCGAAAACTTTCTTTTTTTTTAACTATCTAACTGACTATTCAAATTGGACGCGACAAAAAAGCAGCGCACTGGCAACTACAATTTTTGTAGATGCGACTTTGTTCTTGGGACCCGTCGATTAGATTATTACCTACCTAGAGTTTCTTGTGTCTAAATATTTTTCAATATTATGTATCGTTGGTATAAATTCCATCTGCACATAAAAACTTGAGCAAAAATTTGAGCGTAAAAAATGTACATATCTAAGTAGATAAGTGAAAACTTCTAATCTTATTAACAAATTAGTAATTATTGCACATAAAGAACACATGCTTGCCTAAAAAATACATGCATTCTAAGGAAGCGTTTTTTGGGCGGTTTGAACAACAATATATAAAACCCGCCTCCGAAAATTAGATTTTTTTTATAATACTATTTTTAAATTTAAATAAGAGCCTCTGATATATTTATTTATTCTCTTAAACATAGTCAATCAATCAATCAATCAATTAAAAACAGGAAAAATATCTAGCAAACTTATTTAAATATAAATTCTTTTTCTTTATTCTGTGACTGTTTCCGTTTTACACAGAAATTTCGCCAATGTCCCGTAGTGATATATAAATAATAGTTCTTAATATTTTTCAATTTATGTATAAAATTTAGTTAAGTGCTAGCTGTATTTATACACGCCGCCAATATTCTCTGGCAAATTTCTTGGAAAACGGCCAAAGACAAAAAAGCCTGCGCAGAAGCAATTTTACATATAAAAAAGTATTCTGTGTAAGTTCATTTGTCTTAGGTTTGGCCTAAGAAGTTTACCGCTATGAATTCCTTTAAACAGTCAATGGTTCAACTGTTTTAATTTTAAACAATAGATCGAACATAAAAAATATTATAAAATTATGAGTACAGTTTCTTCACATCATTATCTCAAGAAAATGGTCTCTATTCCCGCACGGTTCTCTAAACCTAAACATAAATTTGATAACAGTGTATCCTTGTTATTCTCTATACAGAATAAAAAGGAGAGACTGATGTTAAATTTAGTTTTAAGTTTTAAGAATCATGTTAGAATCGTCACCAACTATTATCTAAAATATAATCAACTATTTACAGAAAAGACGTTTGAACGCAAAAACAAAAGCCATGGGATCCATTGGCTTTTTAAAACTATGCAAATAGGTAGGGTAATCTTGGCCTGTTTACGCGCCAAAACGGGTCGAGTTGACGAAAAAGTTCCCGCCAATTTTGGTTTTGCTTTTGTTTTGTGTCACGTGTTACGGTCTCGCACTGACAGTGCTTGCACGATACATCGCAATCTTGCTAGACTATTCACGCCGCAACTGCTGGATTCGTCTGAAACAAAGCGTAGAATAAATTCACAATCATGCATTCCACAAGGCTCTCATTTAGGCCCTTCTCTGTTTTTTCTTTTATATAAATGATATTGGCCACGTCTTTAACCACAGCCAACGTCTACTTTATGCAGACGATATTAACATAATTAGGATTGTCGAATTTTTCTATTTACACACGGTACGAAAATAGTGTTTCACTTCAAAAATTATAAAATGTTTTTTCCTCCCCCTAGGTACGACGTTATCTTTACTTACTGGACATGAACGGTTTTTCCTTTGACGCTTTGATTTCAACGCTGTCGCGATCTCTGGAAACGACTGCGGGCGGCTCGATGTATCCTTTGCAGCTTTCAGACTCCAACTGTGAACAAAACTGTTCGTGAAAAGAAAAGAAAACCACAAGGTAGAGCAAAGCAGAAGTTCCGTTCGAAATGACTCGTTTTTTTTGAGTGTGTATGCTGTTGGTCGCAGATGACCTTTACAGCGTCAACGGATTTGGGGACGGCGACATACTAAGGAGACCTCAAGCCGAGAATTGGCGAGTGTCTCTAGAGGTATTCCCGGCGGATGGCATCTCCCCACGGGGGGAGTCTCCTCTCCGTCTGGAACCTCTAGACCACTCGAAACTGATGGTTGGCTAAACTAGAGGGCGTCTCTGAGACTCTGACCTCGGCTCTAGTTAGCCGTTGTCGTGGGGGACGCCGAAACGACTCCATTTCAGATACTAATCTGCAGGACGCTCTGTAAAATAAAATCTCATTTTCGATTTCGGTAGCTGAACTAGGAGCTTAATATAACATAAGGGATATGCTCTTTTCTTAAGCTAAGATTACCCGGTGTTCTTCGTATCACCTATCCCAACGACATTAAAAGTCTCTTAAATTCGCTGTAATCATGTATACTTGTTAAGTCGACTTGACAAGAGACCAGCAGGCCAATTATGATCGCTAATTGTGTTGTTTTGATGTCAATTTCACATTTCGTATTATGCTCTGCGAAAAATGCGATATCAAAATGACATTAACTAGATATCAACTTATGCGTATTATGATTAACTCTTTAAAATTATATCAACTTGATATCAACTTAAATGCGTATTACGTTCAACTTTTTGACATAAAACAGTATCGCATAAACGTCAAAAATGTGATACAGGATATGATATTGATATGATCTTGATGTGACATGGGAATGTTTCACAATACCATTTAAAAACAATTTCAATTTGGCATCAACATCACATTGACATCTCATTAAGATTAAATCACTATAGTATAATTAACGCGCTTAGGCCCTGCCAGAATATCAGCGCCACAGCGCCCCCGGCGTCGCTATGGCCACTATCACAGGCCACTATGCTGAATCAGGGACCTAGTTGGCCTTTTTTGTTATTGCTTTTGTTTTGTGTAATCTTATTATTTAAGGCTACTAAAATTCATTCTTACTTTCTTTCAAGTCGACTTGATCGTCTTCGGGACGCATTACATAATAGACAGACCATAGTCAACTAACAAAAGGGCATAGATATTCCATATGATATATTATGCACCTTGTTACACTACCCTCTACCTACACTGGAATCTACTGGAAAAAGTTACGTTGTTTATGGAAAAGTTTTCTTATTGTAAACGACTGGTGTAAAATACAACGCCAGTCGGTACCTAATATCTTTAACTTGCAAAAATCAAAATCAAAAATCATTTATTCAGTCTAGGCTGTTACAAGTACTTGTGAAGGTCAATAACGCAAAACTACGGAGGGAGACCTTGTACCGAGAAGAACCGGCAAGAAACTCAAGCAAGAGTTGTTTTTTTCTCCCTGTATTGCTATAGGTATATACAGAGGCGTCAAGTTAAAAAATGACTTCAGAGATAGGGCTTCTGAAGTTAAGTTGGCAATTAATTATAGCAAACTAAATTTAATCGAGAAAAGCACGCGAAAATATCGCCATAACTCACGGATACATAACTCAAATTCTATCATACGAAAATAGTCGTAAAACATTGAAAAAAAAAACTAAATGTGTCGCAGGCATCGCACGCGCACGCAACCCAACGAAAAACAAAAGAGTTGTAGTAGGTATCAAATCAGAGATATTCCCGCCTCGGAAATGTGATGGCAATTAAAATTATTCCGCGCTCGTCGGCTCGGCTCGTTCACATGAGTAGAGAATGAACAGAGGCGAGAAGCTTTACCACGCCGCGCCGCTAGTTTTTCTGCACATTTAAAAAATGTACTTAAGACCCCTCTTAACTGTTCAGAAAAATTATGAGGGCAATGTTTTTTCCATACAAACGATCTCGACTGATTCCTCCTTGATTTTAATCACTAAAGAATTGATTTTTATACATAAAATATAATTTTACTCATTCTACGCATCTACGTCTTTCTTTTTTCGATATCTTGTGTTTCAAAGAAACTAGAAGCCCCCGACAATGTCCAAAAATAAAAAAAATCACCACTAAAGACGTCTAGTATGGAGATTTAATAACCATTTACAAATAAAATCATAAGCAAAGTATAACTACTCATTATTCTTTGTGTAAAATTTATTTTTTATATATCTAATTTTAGAGGAGGAAATCTCTGTTTGTAATATTGAAATAACCGCTTTTTACTACATGCATATGAATATATATACGGTACATACACCAAAATAACATTTTTTACAATTTTTGTCTGTCTGTTAGTTCCGGCTAATCTCTGAAATAGGTGGACCGATTTTGACGGGACCTTTATTGGCAGGTAGCTGGTGTAATAAGAAGTAACTTACGCTACTTTTATTTTAGAAAAAAAAAACTAAAAGTTATCGCGAATGAAGTGCGGGCGGCCGCTAGTATTTAATACAGATGCCAAAAATTGGTACTTCATGCTGCATATTGTCATTTAGGAGTAACGTATCTCTTCACTGCATACGTGACAGGCCACCCCAGTGCCCACTCTTCCACGCGCAATTGAATGAAGCTTTGTATCTGTGCGTTTTTTATTCATGATCCTCGGTTCGCGGTACGCTATTCCTGAGCTCTGAGTCTGATAGATAATCTCGCGACGGGGATTAATCACGTTTTAACATCGTACAAGATCTCGTCGTCGCGCACGGCCCAGCGTTTGCCTTTTATATAAACGGATCCGTTTCGTAAAAAGAGTGAATTTGATATCATCTACATAGGGCCGTATTATAGAAAGACAACTAAGAGCTGGTCCCCACTTGTCGGGTGCCGGATCCGTATATTAATCGGATGTCGGTGCCTTTGTTCACACACACGATTAATAAACGGTTGTCGGTCACGATGGAAGCATTAACCAATTTTAGTCACTCTATGCGAGGGGACTGTTCACGATGGACGAGGACGAAGTTCTTGTTGTGATGTTCCTAATATTATTTAAGAAAACAAAGAAAGAGAGCCATGGAAAGTAAATAAAGGGTGCACATATTCCTGAGGGAAAGATTTAATTTTGGGTAAATCTCAGAACTTAATAACAGAATTGAGAGGTGACGAAATTAAGAGTTTCAATTATATTTTAGGATGTCAATATCAACATTCAACGATCTACTGTTTCAAATATTAGTGAACATAAACTACCAAAATACAGGACTTAGAGACTGCATTTGTACTGAAAAAGGGTTGCGTTACGGACGGAACAAGGGGTAGCCCCGACACCCGTCAAATATGAACAGCGTCATTCTTAATAATAGGCGAGCGAGATCCGACACGATTTTTTTCCGGGCGTAGAGGGCTGGCAAAACCCTGGACACTTCTTGTCGGAGCCGACACAAAATCGGTTTCTGATAAGTGTGAATAGCTTCATATATAATGCTCTGCCACTGGAACCTCCGATTAATATACGGATCCGACGCCCGACAAGTGGGAACGAGCTCTTAGTGTTGATCTTTACTTGAGTACAGTAAGAAAGGGATGTCGCTATGTGCTATATATAGCGACATCCCTTTCTAACTATGCTCAAGACTAGATCAATCACTGAGAATCTTTCTATAATACGGACCTTAGAGTATTGTAGGATGTGGGTATACATTTATCATCGATTTCTATATCATCACATCGTCAGCCTGTTAATGTTAAAGGGTGGAAAAGAAAGCAAGGGGTCATGATATAATCTACTACGCGGGCGCGGTGCGGATTTACGGGCACAACCACTTCAGACGCAGTCGGAATTAACAGCTAAACGTTTCCAAAGCGCATTCTATGATAATTCGAGACCTGACAGTGGAAAAGTTGCTTAATTTTCACGAAAGCATACTGAAGGGCGTTAACAACTACACCGTCGCCCTTCTTCATCCCTCCATTTGTATCTGCCGTGGAATGATTCGACAGTAGAAAAGCAAAACAAAAAGGGAAGATACGGTACGCTCATACTAGCATCAAATAAAATATGATCCGACTCAACTACATAAGCAATCACACACGCACACTTCTGTAAACAAACATTTAATCGAGCGAGCGAGACAGAACTGTACGCTTCAACGCAGCTGCTGAGCTGTATTGTTGTCCTTTTCTTGATAACAAAATGGCGATTACGTAAATAACATTCACGACAAACCGTGATTTTTGAGTTTTTTTTACAGTTTTACGAATGACAAGTCTTGAGGCATTTGTTATTTGATCTTGAACTATTTGTGTTCTTTATAAGCATCGAAGGCATTGTATTATCTTAATAACATAGAATATAATCAATATTGTTATATTGAGTGCACATGCAGCGTGTTTGAATGTCCAATTGTGACTAAAGCGAATTGTGCCCATGCGCCACAATTTAAGCGGATCACTTATAAGTCGCGGGCGCCGTATTTTCCCTTTTTTGTTTTAATCTAAACTTATACGTCAGTTTGGTGCTGCTTAAAAATTTATATTAAATAGAAACTGAAATAAAGTTCATTTTTAAGCAGCACCAAAGTGGCATGATAGAGATTTCGCTTTTCCACTGTCGATTTGATAAATCGATTTTCGCGATAATCCTAGGCGTTTTGCGAAAACTCGGATAATAGGGTGACAAGTTTTATAAAACGATCTCACGTTATTGACTAATGTTTATGGAGTCCGTAAAAAGTGGATATTAATCATTTTGTTGTGTATTTCAGTAAAAATAACCAAATCAAAAACTCCATTTTCAAATTTCCGCGAAAGCGTTTCTCTGGACAATATGGCGTCTTACTAGTGTGTGACGTCACACGACTGTTAATAAAACGTCAAACGATACAATGTAATGTCACTTTAACCGGAAGTTTACTTGCGTGTGACGTCATTTTAAGCTCCGCCAATCCCAAGCGTTTTGGGTCACGTGACAATAGATAAGAAAACTATTATCTTTTTCGTGGGTTTTTAGTAAAATTAAGAATATTTTTTTTGCAAAAATTGTAAAAACCCCTGCCAACATTCAATCTAAACACACATGCTAACATTTGGCACCTTATTTTTAAGACTGTCAAATACCCTATTAGACAATGGCGATGATATGACTCAATCTTACTGAAAGAATATAATATTTTAGCGGAAACGCGTGTCGACTTAGTAATACATACATACATATTCTTGGGTTTTGGGTTCACACTATATGTGGTTAGTGTTGTGTTGTAAACATGACGACCTTTCATGTGCAAGTGGTTAGCGCGTTCGGCTGCGATCGTTGAAGTTAAGCAACTTTCGCAGTGGTCGGTCATTGGATGAGTGACCAAAAATCTTCTACCTTGATTTCCTCCGTGCTTCGGAAGCACGATAGGCCGTTGGTCCCGGCATCTGCAGTCTTTAGCACCTGCTAATCCGCATTGGGTCCGCGTGGTGGGTCATGTGGCCCAATCTCCCTTTTCCATCCATAGGGAAGGCCTGTGCCTCAGTAGTGGGGACATTAATAGGCTGAAGATGATGAACCAACTTACCGCACTAATATTATAAATAACTATTACAATTTAACTTGTAACCGCATATAATCATTTTGGTTTTAGTATTACAAGCGTCCATAGCTATGTCCATAGCTATGCGGTAACTGCTTGCTTACCATCAGCAATGCTTTCACAGGTGGATCCGTAGCGGATCCAATATGGGTCCGCTCGTGAAAATTTCATGGTAAAGTGGAAGGTAGAAGCATTGATGGTGAGTTATAACATCCCCGTGGTGGTTATTTTCATAACCTTCTCCAATATATATAGGATTACCATTTAGGAATTTAAAAAGTTCTGACATTTCGAAAAAGTCCAGACTTTTTAGTCACAAAATGGTACCATTCCTCACTTAGTTACAATGATATGGTATTTAAATCAATGTGTACATTTATATTCATATTCAATCTAATTAAAAAAAACTGGACTATTTAAAGATCCGGACAAAGACCTATATAAAACTAGTTTTTTACGGGTTAATGTATGAAATTTTATTTATTTATTGACGTTTCGCAGTCTTTACTGGCTGCGTCTTCGGAGTCAATTTTTTATTATTATTAAATTGTTTTAAATTATTAAATAATAATAAAAAATGATTCCGACGACGCAGCCTGTAAAGGCTGCGAAACGTCAATAAATAAATAAAGTTTCGTGCATTAACCCGTAAAAAACTAGTTTTATTTAATGAGTGATGTGCGTGAAAACCTAAGAAACAAACAAAGTCCTATAGTCTAGCAGTCCGGACTGTTAGACTATAGACCTATAGTTAGGACTATAGTCTAACAGTCCGGACATGTCCGGACTTATCTACATCCTAAATATATCACACATTTCATATTCTTCGCTATAACATAAAGGTCATTAAACTTTGCATTTCACTTAAATCTTACAATAATAATAAAGTTGTCTGTCCCATATTTAAACACGAATACTGATTCAAAACCACATTATAAAGTGCGAACACGAGAGCTAATGTCATTATTGATGATATTTGCACGAGTTATTAAAGAAGACGTACGGTCCGTGTATCTCGCGCGAAAATAGTGTGCACGCGCACGCGGGAAAATCAAGATGGCCGCGCATATTGAATGAACGAAATTAAATAGATGGATGGTAGATATTATCAAAACGCATATAGGTAGTTTCGGGGCGCATATAGTTTTCCGTTGGCAGAGTATCAAAGATGCGGTCAGATAAATAAAATTTATATAAGTTAGCATTAATCGTCTCCTTATATCATTGCTGGGTAGCAAATGCGGCATGGTCAGACTTTTTTGGCTCAGCCGGATTAGTGCAAAAATGGATTGATATCGGTACCGACATGACTGGTGCATAATATAAGACGTGGTATAAATATATTATTCCTATATGAATTAAATTAAATTACACTTTATTCAAATTGACTTATAGACTAGGGTTGCCACCCGTACTTTATAATAAAGTATTGTACGTTATTTTGGGTAATTGTACTCTATACTTTATGCCAACAATAAAGTACGCAAAAATACTTTATTTAATGTGATTTGATTACTCGTGTCGTCGTATTATTTTTACATAAAATATATAAAAAGAGGTTGATAGAAAGGATTTTTGCGTAAAACGGACAGAAAGTATGAATATGTCGCCCTTAGCTAATTCCTACAATATTTTCGTGGCTATATGCCTTTGTATCATTTGTACCTGTCCCGTTGCGGACAAAAACTACAGTAGCCGCAAATTATTTATTAAAAGTTGCTAGTAGCAACGTAAAATATATTTTGAAGCTTACTTATAAAGTGGAATAACAAGTACTGGTAAATTTTGGACACAATGTACTTTTTTTTACATTTAATATCTAATGTAAAGTACATTTCGATAAATAAAAGGTGGCAACTCTGTTATAGACAGCTCTTTTGAATCGTCCAATATTTTTCCCTACCACTATGTAACGGGGGCGCGCACAGGGGCGTATTTACGCTAGGACCTGTGATGTCTATGATGCTACTGAGAGAGGCGACAGAAGGCATATAAAGGCATGAGGGTCTAAATCGTAAGTGGCCCGGAGAGTCAGACTTTAAGATACGCAGTCTGCCACTGTCCGCGCGTTAGATCGGTTACCTTAGTGTCCCATAACACAGTGTGTAGTGTGAGGCTAGGCTTATTGGTGGGAGTGCTAGAAATACTTATTTAGTTTGTGGCGGCGACATCTACATATAATCAACATGGATGGAATCACTCGCTTCGTCAAGAGATGGCGCTACCAGCGCTGCACTCATAAGAATCCTACATCGCGCAAGAGTAATTCGGAGGCTTATGGCAGAAACAGGGTTTTGAAACGCGACGTTGTTAAGTCAAATCAAATATACTATTTTCTATGATCAGAGTCACATTAGGAATATTCGGTGGAACGCGACGACGTCGGGTGGCATCGCGTTTCAAAAGTCTGTTTCGGCCTTGACTCTTGTTATATGCAATGCCCGTCCAACATCAGGCGGGCCGCGCCTTACGCTACCATTACCCAGCTCGGAGGAAGATCTTCCCCTTTTGGTCTTCCTACAATATCATAATACTAACGGCAGCGGCTGCTCTCAGCGCCGCCTGCAGCCTCTCAATGTGTTGTATGGCGGCGCGCAGGATCTCCAGTTTGGGCAGCCTGCCGCTGCCGGCGCGCGCTCTAATCCTTAACTCCTCGAAGGCTGCGTTCACCTGCCAACAAGATAGATTTTTATATGACCATAAAATCCGATTGACATTGTCACGAATGAAAAGTGTTGCTGAGGCATTTGTTATTTGATTCTGAACTATTTGTGTTCTTTTTAAAAGCATCAAAGGCATTGTTTTATCTTTATAACACAGAATATACGCAATATTGTTATATTTGCACTTGTAATATCGTTATTGAGTGCACTTGTAGACATGAGTTTTTCAGAGCGGTTTCCGCACTAAGTCCTAATTATTGAACCATTGTGCGTGTCTCGAAACATTCCTGTTTACTCCAGCCAGCCTAAGTTAGTCCAGAAGGAAAGCTACCTTGGGCGACTGTTGCAAGCTTCTGGAAGCGATTCTGGCGACAGGAGAAGTCGTGCAGTCGTGCCCTTTGGTCGGCCACACTCCTGCAGTCCATGATTACATGCTGTGGTGTTTCTTCTGCCTCCATGCATCCTCTGTATAGGGGCCTAATGCATATAGGTGTCTGTTTAGGGGACAATGACCAGTCAGGGTTCCTATAATCTTGCGAAGTTTAGGCCTATTGAACTTTGGTCGGCCACACTCCTGCAGTCCATGATGACATGCTGTGGTGTTTTTTCTGCCTCCATGCATCCTCTGCATAGGGGGCTGTCTATTTCTTCTATTGCATATAGGTGTTTGTTTAGGGGACAATGACCAGTCAGGGTTCCTATAATCTTGTGAAGTTTAGGCCTATTGAACTTTGGTCGGCCACACTCCTGCAGTCCATGATGACATGCTGTGGCGTTTTTTCTGCCTCTGTCTGTCAGTCAATATGGCGTCGAAATCATGACGTCATTACCACTGGCCAGCGTACTGGTGGTATATAGGACCCCCCCCCCCCTTATACACCTCACGTAATTTATGCCACTTCCCCAGACGGGCGCTTCAATTCGAGCAGATAATCCGCTTTGTACCTCTTATGCTTCTATGCTCTTGTTAGGTATTTTAAATGAAAGAAGCTATGATGAAATATGACGGTCCAAATTCAAACTTAATGTTGTTCTGCATCTATTTACGTTTGGATTACCAAATTAATTTGAAACACGAAATGTTTGGCTGTATATGTAGTTATTTATTACTAAACTTTGCCAAAATGTCATGTTGCTCATCCGCAGATAAATTAAATTAATCTTAACTAGCGTGGATAGGAAGTGACATTACGTCTTGAGCTATTATTTTTATAATAGCTCAATATAATAATATACCTATTTCAGTCAACAAGCTCGATGGCGCAAATGGTTAGCGCATTCGGCTGCGATCGTTCAAGTTAAGCAACTTTCGCAGTGGTCGGTCATTGGATGGGTGACCAAAAATTTCTATCTCGGGTTCCTCCGTGCTTCGGAAGGCACGTTAAGCCGTTGGTCCCGGTTGCATCTGCAGTCGTTAGCACCCGCCAATCCGCACTGGGCCCGCGTGGTGGGTCTTGGCCCAATCTCCTTATTCCATCCATAGGGAAGGCCTGTGCCCTAGCAGTGGGGACATTAAAAAGGCTGATGATGATGATGATGATTTCAGTCAAGCAGTTATATAGAACAGAATCTACAATTCTATAGATAGTCTTTACTATAGCTGTAATCCTATCTTCTAATATATACTAGCGGCCGCCCGCGACTTCGTACGCGTGGAGTTAGTTATTTGCACATTTTTGACCCGAAAAGGGGGTTTATTGCTAAAAATACATTATTAGTATACACCTCTACACCATCTATAGAGCATACATGTTAAATTTCAAGTCTCTTACTTCAAAAACATAGGACTTTCATACAAACTTCCAACCCCCGTATTACCCCCTTAGGGACGGAGTTCCGTGATAATATGTAGCCGATATGTTGACCCAACTTCTTAAGAATATTCGTGCCAAATTTGAAGTAAATCCATGCAGTACTTTTTGAGTTTATCCCGGACATAGATACAGACAAACAGGCAAAAATTCTAAAAACAATATTTTTTGCTTCGGTATTGATTGTAGATCACACCCCAAGTATTCTTTTAAAAATTTATTCAATGTACAGTTTTTAATTTCCCACCATTTTAATATACATATCTATAGATAAATTACGCGTTACGTTGTTTGTCCGCGATAGACTCCTAATCTATTTAACCGATTTTAATCAAATTTGCATACCGTGTGCAGTTCGATCCAACTTGAAAGACAGGATAGCTTACATCTCAATTTATAGTCGCAATATAATTTTATTGGAATTTATTACTACTGGGCGGTACGAAGTTCGCCGAGTCAGCTAGTAATATTATTAAGATCGTTTTTTATATCATGGCTCATCTTCGTCATCTTCGAGCGTCACACGCCTATTATATGTATACTGCCGTCCTCAAGCTAAAACCAACTTTTGAGATATGACCAAAAAACGGCGTGTAAAATTCAAATTATTGCTATTTTGTAACCATTCATCATAATTATCACAGATTTATAGACACAAATAAAAAATGATACGTATACTTGTTAAAGACAGATCGATAGAGAATTAAAAACTGTATTAGGTGCAATTTAAGACTAAAAAATCGACCACATGTCACTTAGCCACACTTTAATTTGAGCACGGCAGATTTAGTCTCATCATCAGTATCATCATCAGCCGATGGACGTCCACTGCTGGACACAGGCCTCCTCAAGGGATTTCCTTAAGAAACGATTCTGCGAACGAACGATATAGTATAAGTTAACGTAAAAGAAGATATGGCCGTTCATGTTGCGTACCTACAAATTTGTACGAAACCCTTCGTGCCCTAGTCAAACTCTCACTTGCCCGGTTTTTTTTATCATCAACGCCAACATCATCCGCTATTTATACTGCGTGGGTAGATATTTTAATAAGGCACCGCGGTTTCGTTAATAAAACGCGCCCCAACAAAATTACCGCACAGCTTATTAGCCACGCGCCATTTGCATTATACGACCCGTTTCCAAACAGCAAACAGCCCGTTTTTTCATGTATATAAATAGATTGTTTTGACTGTAATAATGTTGGGTATTTTGTTTCAATATGTCGACTTTTGAAATTATAGCTTTGTCATTAATAATCTTGTTGCTCTACGGCCTGTGTGAATAATCAAACATCAGTAAAATAAATAAATATTTCCAAAACTCACACCAATTAGCCTAGCCCCCAAAGTAAGCACTATAAGGCTTGTGTTATGGGAAACTAGGGTAACACATAGAATACATATTATACTGTACATATATAAGTATATTTATATAGAAAATACATATTAAAAACATCCATGACTGGAGTACAAATGCTCGTATTCATCATACAAACATCTGCCCCCACCGGGATTTGAACCAAGGACCTCTCGAGTTGGCGACACCATGAAACCCGGAGCACAAACCACTCGACCACGGAGGTCGTCAGTAAGAGATAGATTTTAGTTTAATTTAGTTTTTCAGAGCGGTTTCTGCACTAAGTCCTAATTATTGAACCATTGTGCGTGTCTCGAAACATTTCTGTTTACTCCAGCCAGCCTAAGTTAGTCCAGAAGGAAAGCTACCTTGGGCGACTGCTGCAAGCTTCTGGAAGCGATTCTGGCGACAGGAGAAGTCGTGCAGTCGTGCCCTTTGGTCGGCCACACTCCTGCAGTCCATGATTACATGCTGTGGTGTTTGTTTTGCCTCCATGCATCCTCTGTATAGAGGGCTATTGCATATAGGTGTCTGTTTAGGGGACAATGACCAGTCAGGGTTCCTATAATCTTGTGAAGTTTAGGCCTATTGAACTTTGGTCGGCCACACTCCTGCAGTCCATGATGACATGCTGTGGCGTTTTTTCTGCCTCCATGCATCCTCTGCATAGGGGGCTGTCCTTTACTCCTATTGCATATAGGTGTTTGTTTAGGGGACAATGACACGCCAGGGTTCATATAATTTTTCTAAGAGTAGGCCTATTGAATTTTGTTATATATATATCTATATTATTTTCATTATGTTTCATATGTTAAAATGGTGACAAGCAAGCGTATGGCCCGCCTGATGGTAAGCGACCACCATAGCATAAAGACGCTTGCGACCAAAAATATCACTCGCATCGTTTCCTGACTTCATCCCCAACCCCGTAGAGCCCAGTAAGGCGATTTTGTATAACGAAATCTCACTTCCGATTTCCGTAGCTGCCGTTTTAGAAATTAATTTCATATGCATTACGCCATTCCTAGGCAAAATGACTAGAGTCTGTGCGAAAAGAGAATGGGCGTGGCGAAAAGCGGAAGTAATATTAAGATTTTTATTTGGCAATCAAACCCAGCAATCTGTAAAACGTCAAAGTTTTGTATTGATACGGATTTGTTTGTTGTTGTGATTTCTTGTGGTTTTTTTTTTATTTAATCATGTCTAAAAGGGGTAAAACCTTACAAATACGGTAGAAAAGCACTACAGCTCCCCCCAATCTAAATCCCATTCTCTTTCTGCACAGGCTCTATATCTGTAGAAGTAGCCAGTATTACATATTTGACATTTGTCAGAAATTCGAATAAATGTAAGTAAGTGAGATTGCATCTTGCAGAATACAGGTCGCGTTCACGTAACTCTAGCGCAGAACAAGACGATAACAGCGTATGGGTACGACTGCAGAGCCAATCGGCGCCACGTACGTCCACCCGCGCACCTCGTTTCCCCCCAACACACCTTAATTTTTACTTCTGCAAAATATCGGTCAGCGCTAGAGTTTCATGCCGCGACTTATACTGCACCCCTATTGATTTTGACAGTTAGTGTTTAGGTAATTAAATACAATGACGTGCTTTTATGAAATTAAGACGCAAGCGAAACTTTTAAAGGTAACTTAACACGTTCTTAGTTGATGTTAAAAGTTATAAAAAGTGGAAAATAAATAAAAGTCCTTTTTTGGCTGGGAATCGAACCCAGGCTGCTCTGTGATTGTTGACAAAGTCTGAATTTTTACAAATTTAAAATGTAATGCGACATCAAGCGACATGCTAAATATGAATTTATAATTATATATTTT